CTTTCAATTGTGTGGATCATGACAAGCTATGGACAACATTGGGAAGTATGAGTATTCCAGAACACTTTATTGTGCTCATGAGGAATCTGTACCTGGACCAAGAGACAGTTGTTTGAACAGAACATGGGAACACTGAGTGGTTTAAAATTAAGAAAGGTGTGCGACAAGGTTGTATTCTTTCACCATACTTATTCAACCTGTATGCCGAGCAAATAATCCGAGAAGCTGGGTTCTATGAAGAAAAACGTGGCATCAGGATTGGAGGAAGACTCATTAACAACCTGCGATATGCAGATGATGACTTAAAACATTTACTGATAAAGATCAAAGACCACAGCCTTCAGTATGGATTATATCTCAATGTCAAGAAAACAAAAATCCTTACCACTGGACCAATAAACAGCATTATTATCAACGGAGAAAAGATTGAAGTTGTCAAGGACTTCATTCTTGGATCAACTATCAACACTCAAGGAAGTAGCAGTTAAGAGATCAAACAAAGTATTGCATTAAGCAAATCTGCTGCATAAGACCTTTTTTAAATGTTGAAGAGCAAAGATGTCAGCTTGAGGACTAAGGTATGCCTGACCCAAGCCCTGGTATTTTCAGTAACCTCATAGCATGTGAAAGCTGGACAGTGAAGACCGTAGAAGAATTGATGCCTTTGAGTTGTGGTGTTGGAGGAGAATATTGATAGTGCCATGGGCTGCCAGAAGAACCAATAGATCCGTTTTGGAAGAAGTGAAGCCAAAGTGCTCCTTGGAGGCCATGATGGCCAAACTTCGTCTCTCATACTTTGGACATATTGCCAGGAGGGAGCAGTCGCTGGAGAAGGGTATCATGTTTGGTAAGGTGGAGGGAGGGTCAGAGAAAAAGAGGAAGACCCCCAACGAGATGGATTGGCCAAGTGGCAGCATAATGGACTCAAGCATGGCAACAGTAGTGAGGTTGGCCCAGGATCAGGCAGTGTTTAGTTCTGCTGTGCATAGGGTCACTATGGGTCGGGACCGACTTGATGGCACCTAACAACAACAACTTTTCCTTGAATGGATTTTTAGGTCAGTATTGTGTAGTTAGTATACTATGATAAAAAAAAGTATAAGATTTTCTAAGAATACAAGTATGAGAAACTTGTTATGATGCCCAGAATATATAGATCTATTAGAAGATATCAGTCAAAAGCATTTCTTACTCTGGGCTCAAATTTATGATGCCTGTGAGGTTATAACATCCAATACATAGCTGTTGTTCAAGTGCCATTTTTTTTTTTCAAATTCGACGGCATCTCACCTTTGTGTGTAGCCAGCAGTATTACTGAATAGAAATTGCACATCTTACTGTTTTGTATTTTTAAAAAATTCCTTCATTTGTTTATTTCTCTTTAACCATATTAACAGTGTATGTGCTGTTAAAAATACACCTTTGTGTTTTGGGGTAATTACTGTTTGTTTTGGAAATTAAATACACGATTGCATAGAGGAGCTCTCACTAACCTGATTACTCAGCTGCTGACTAGAGATACTGCGTCATGGCAGGGACCTGTAGTAAATGTTCAGAAAAATGTTTTGTTTTAAAGGGTAAGTTATATATAAGTGAGAAATTTTTGATACTTAAAATTCCCAGAATCTCAAACTTTAGTGTTTTTCGTTTTTACAACTTATCCTATATGTCTTATAACAAAATATATACATACATAATATACATATACATAAATGTTTTTGTTGTTTTGTGCAGTTGAGTCAATTCCGACCCAGTATAGGGTTTCCAAGGAACAGCTATTGAGCTTGAACCACTGACCTTGCAGTTCAAACAACATTTGCAGTCTGACACATTAGCCCATGGCGCTCACACCAGGACTCCATATACATATGTACATGTATGTATATATACGTATTAAATCTCTTTCAAACAAATGAAAATCACCTTATTCTTGTGGGAGAAAAATAGGTCTTGTCATACCTCTCTAATAGATGTTATTGTTAAGTGCAGTCAAGCTGATTTCAACTTACAGCAATCCTGCATAGGGTTTCCAAGGAGTGACTGGTGGGTTTGAACAACTAACCTTAAAGTTAAATACGCCAGCCAGTGTTGATCATGAACTATTAATTTTAGTTTTTCCTTGCACATTGTCAGATATTCTCCCATAGGGAAATTTAATGGTACATAGTAATTGAATAGTTATATTTATTAATGCTAATACATAATTTAAGGAAATCGACACTCCCGGGAATTTAGTCTTTTGTAGATTTGCAAAGGTAGTAATCAAAATAGGGAACTTATTTTTTTGGGAGCACTTGTGTTCTAGACTCTGTACTACCTGCTTTACATTCCATTTCTTATTTAGTTCTGCAAACCCATTTCTGTGAGTTGATTCCAACTCACAGCAACCCTATAGGACAGAGTAGAGTTGCTCCATAGGATTTCCAAGGCTGTCTGGTATGGCGCTGTAGGATAAGTACTAGACTGCTAACCACAAAGTCAGCAGTTCAAACCTACCTGCCACTCTTCAGCGGATATCCTATACAGGATCACTTTGAGTCAAAACTGACTGGATAGCATTTAACAACAATAATCTTTATAGCAGCAGCAGACTGGCACTTCTTTCTCTTGTGGAGCAGCTGGTGGGTTTAAGCCACTGACCTTTCTGTTAGCAGTCATATGTTTAACCACTATGCCACCCCATGAAGTTGGTATTAATATAGTTCCATTCTACAAATAAGGTAACTAAAGCTTAGGATGGTAAAGTACTCATCCGTGAATGCTGGGTGTATGTTTTTTTCTGGTGAGAGTGGGGGGATTGTTCCAAATATGTTAACTCTTATTGATCATGTCTTTTTCATCTTGATAACTTTGTTCTTCAGCGCTCTTTCACATATATGTCATTTGGTATTAATAGAGTGATTTGTCATGAAAGCCCAGGGCCAGATTATTTATGAATACACATTCCTTTACTTAGAGGCCTGGCGTGGTGCTGTAAGATGAGCACTGACCTGCTAATCGCCAAGTGGTGGTTCAAATCCACCAGTTGCTTATTGGAAACATACACGGTTGCTGTGAGTTGGAACCGACTCAACAGCACTTAACAACAACATTCATCTGCTTCAGTTTTAAAAAAATTTTGTTTCTGAATTTTTTAAATTGTGAATTGTGTGAAGGTTTACAGAGTAGAATATCAATTTAAAATCAACAGTTCATACACATTTTGTTTTGTCTCATTGACTCTCATCCCCACAGTGAAACATCTCTTGTCCTACTTCTTCCCTTTGTTTCCTGTTTTCATTCTTCTTTCTTTCCTAACCCTTCTGCACTTTGTCCTTGAGTAAATGCTGCCCTTTTGGTATTCTAAGAGGTCTAGTGTTATTGTTTTCCTTATAGTCTATTGTTTCAGCTAAAGGGGTGAGTTCATTTCCAGACCTGAAGATTGACTAAGGCTCACCCGTCATCTCTGTGTTCCACCATTCTCTACCCTACCAGTAAGCCTGGTCTTTTTTCTGATTTTGAGTTTTCCATGTTTTTCTGCCACTCTATCCAGGACATTATAATGTGATCTCTTTCAGAACAGGTGGTAGCTAGCTGGGCACCATCTAGTTCTTATCTCAGAATTGTGGTAACTGATGTTAACCTGCTCCATTGGTCCATTGGAATGATTGATTAGAAGCATCTTCAGTTTTCATAATGCTTCTTTTTTCTCCACATGGAGAGAGTAATAGTTGCACCAATAGATGGCTGCTTACAAGCATTTAAGATTCTAGTCACTATTCGCCAAAGTAGGATGTAGAACACTGTCATTGTGGACTGTGTTATGCCAGTTGACCTCGGTGTCTCCTGAGACTGTGGTCCTGAGCCCCTAGGCCCAGCAACTTATACCCTCAAGGTGTTAAGTTATGTCTAAGAAGATGTCATAACTTTGCCCCTTGTATGTTTCATATTCGTAGGTATATTTGCAGCAAAGGTAAATAACAATGTAGAAATACCCTCTTGTCAAGCCTATATATAATCTCCTTCCCATTTCTGTTCAGCCTGTATGTCTATCCATGCACTTACTTATGTTGCTTGTTGTTAATGGCTACCAAGTCGGTTCTGACTCACAGAGAACCTGTATAGAATTTCTGAGGAATGGCTTGTGGGTTTGAACTGACAACCTTGTGGTTACCAGTCCAGTGCTTAACCTACAGTGCTATACTAGGACTCTGCATTTACTTAATAGATATTCACTATTGCAGGGTTGTGTGTATAACTGTTTTCCTCTTTTCATGAACTCTTGCATCTGAGTTTTGCTACTGTTGTTAGTAGTTTCTGTTCATTTGTTTTAGAACAACTTCTAACCTAAGACAAGTATTCTCTATTTTATCTTCCAACCCTACAAGAAACCCACCCAGTTTCTATAACTTTAGAACATTAGCAACATGTTACCTTAAAAATTAGTTTGGATTTTATATTAAATTCTATTTTGTTTCCAAATTTAAAGTAATGTTGTGTGTTGTTTTTTTAAAGTAAAATAATGTTTCCTTATAATGTTACCTTTTAATCCTCACAGCTCAGTATCATCTCCCTGTTTGCTGTTGCGTATGTGTAAAACTCTTGATATCTTAGGAACATATAGTTCAAACATAGTAGACCAAGATGAATTTTATTTTTAAATCTTAGTTTAATTCCTAAAATCTATAGGCAACTAAAGATTAAAGCTAATGTAACGTTTTTATTGTCTGTAGCTTTTGTTGTGTTATAATGATAAAAATATATTTTTAAAATTCGAATTGATTTTTAGCATTGCTACATGTTATTTTGAATACCTTGCTTGCTTCATTGAACTTTTTGTACCTTTAATCTATTTGAAGATCTTGTTATTAGCTATAGTCACATTATTTCATTAATGCATCTTTGTTTATACATTTATGCTTTTTGATTTAAGGACACGACCTCCTGTGCGTTTTGAAAACCTATCCAACACAAAATAGAGAAATTAGTGATTTTTATATTTTTCTTTTTGTCTGTTTTAGGATGGCTACCATAGAGTAGTTAATATTGTGCCAAAGAAACCACCACTACTAGACAGACCTGGTGAAGGAAGCAACAATAGATATTACAGTCATGTTGATTACCAAGAATATGACGAGGGCCGCAGTTTTTCTCATGATCGAAGAAGTGGTCCACCTCACAGAGGAGTATGTAAATTTCCCCATGTATTAATTGTTATTTCTTATAAGTTAAAATTCATGTAATGGAAAAAAATTATGTGACTGGACTTAGAGACAGTTGAATAAACACTTCCTGCTTGATGCTCTTAAATTGTTTGTTGGAGCTCTCAATTGGAAATTGGTAGTCAAGAATCTTGGGGTGCTGAACAAAGTGGGTAAGCACTCTGGATCACTCTACTTTTATCTGTATGACATTAATTCCAACTAGCCTGCTTTTTTTTTTACCCCTTAAATTGGTAAGGATTTGCAGAACCAGATAAAAGTGATGTATTGTCTTGGTGAAAACTCATCAATAAATGATGAGCAAGTAATTGCCATCTTTGCTGGATGTGCCCACTTAATACTTTTTGCATTTTAATGAAACACTTAAGATTGTTGCGATTCAGACTCATTTTTGAGTCTGCAATTCAGACTCAACATTGTCATATGGTAAGCAATTTAAAAATGTTAGCTGCTATCTTTACTATTTCTATAATTAGTTTCTTTTATCATCATTACTAATCTAATAGAATATATTTAATATTTCAGTGGTAGTCTGTCACTGATCATGATTAAAACTATTTCTTGATGCAATTTCTGTCAAGTTGGGTTGTTAAAAGCTCTACTGGACCTTTTCCCATTTCCCCCTTCTGTATATAATATTGTAATTAACAGTAACGTTTTAAAATATTGTATATATAATTAAATTTGACCGTACACTCACCCTTGGAATTAATTTTCCTATTTTACATTTGAAGAAATGGAGGTAGGATGATTTATTAAGGGTACGTATTATGGAAATTTGATTCTCTTTCTTCTACATCATAGTGACACTTGACAATTCTAAAGTGGTAATGAGACTGTTCAGTGTTTGGGTGGGTTTTTTTTTTGTTTTTTTTTTTTTACCCTTAAAGCTTGGGATTTCAGGAGAAAGATGAGGCTGTCTGCTGCTGTAAAGATTTAGTCTTAGAAAACCTGATGGAGCAGTTCTACTCTGTCCTACAGGGTCTCCATGAGTCAGAATCAGTATGATGGCAGTGGTTGTTGTTGTTGTTGTTAAGTGCCGTCGAGTCAGTTCCGACCCATAGCGACCCTGTACAGGGTTCGCAAGGGTGTAAATCTTTACAGGAGTAGAAAGCCGCATCTTTCTCCCGCGGAGCGGTTGGTAGTTTTGAACCACTGACCTTAAGGTTTGCAGCCCGATTCATAACCACTACGCTACCAGAGCTCCCTCAGTGGTTAGAGGTAGGTAATATTTGGGGTGTTAGAACTTATGGAATTCTCAAAGAATTGGTTTTTATTTTGTTCAAGTTTAAATGTTAGGCTGTTCTTTAATGAAGAGGAAACAGTGTTGGAAAAGTAAATATGTATTACCTCTATTCTAGAAAATGCTGCCATCAAAGTCTGTCTTCTCGGTAGTCTAGGGAGAAGCAGTTTGGCCTTTGCATAAATAGATGTTATCTATCATTTTAAAACCCTGCAGTATAAACAGGGAATTCTGGGTTCATTGGACCAATTTTTATAGGAAACCTCATGAGTACATTAATATATATATATATTGTTTTTTTTAACAACTTACAGCATAACAGTGCCTCTACAACATTTTTTTTTCTCTTTTTGGCACATGTTGTGTTTGTCTTCATACAGTACACAACATTTTCTCTAAATTTTCTTAAAACCAGCAAATTTTGTCTGATGACAATTCTTAATCAGAGTTCAGGTATATAAAGCAAACTGCTTGTTTGATCCAACTTTTCATTATAGCTTTTGAGTTTTCTGTTTTCTTTATAGTTTAATATATTGAAAAGAAAAATGATCGGTACATTTGACTTAACTTGAGAGCAGGTCATGTGGTGCTAAAGAGATATGAAGATAATTCACTTAAGCTAAATTAGTGTTTCTCATTGTTATGTAATTAGCATATTTATGTAAAATTCTAAAGTAATTTGGGGTGTACCTTTGTAAATATGTATGCCTTTTGTGCACTGCTGAGTCAGTTCAGACTCAGTCACCCTGTGAGCAACTGGTGGGTTTGAATTGCTGACCTCGTGGGTGGCAGTCAGGTGCTTATCCTATAGTGCCACACCAGGACTTGAGGACAAAATGTATTTTCTTTGATTAATTTTAAACTTAATACTACTATTGTTCTAATGTGAGGAGGCTTCAAAAAAGTTCATGGAAAGATTTCATGATCTTCTAATTCCATTTTCTATGAACTTTTTGAAGGTCCCTTACATAGCTTTATCAGTAAGTATCATTTTCTTTTTTAATAAGTTTTTGGTTCAGTTTAGTTTTTGTTGAGTATTAATACATTTGTAGTCATTAGGGGTATTGGTCTGTGGTTTTATTGTGATGTCTTTGTCTTTTGTCTGTATCAGGTTGTAATAACTTGCCTCATAAAAGCAGGAAATATTTTCTCCTCTTCTGTTTTTTTAGAAAAGTTTATATAGGATTAAAGTCAACTTTAGAAATGTTTGATAGAATTCCCAGTGAAGCCCTCTGGTCCAGGACGTTTCTTTGTTAGAAGGTATTTGATAACTGATTCAATTTCTTCACTTTTATGTCTGTTGTGGTCTCCTAATTCTCTTGAGTCATTGCAGGGAGTTTGTGTTTCAAGGAATTTGTCCATTTCCTCTAAGTTATCTAATTTGTTGGCCTTTAACCATTCATCTGGTAGCATAGTGGTTAGGAATCAGGCTGCGAAACACAAGGTCAGCAGTTTGAAACTACCAGCTGCTCCGTGGGAGAAGGATGAGGTTTTGTTTTCCCGTAAAGATTTACAGCCTTGGAAACCCTGTTCAGGGTCGCTATGGGTCGGAACCGACCCGACGGCACTTAACAACAACAACAACAACAACAACCATTCATAGTATTCTTTACAATCCCTTTTACTTATGTAGGGTAAGTAGCAATGTCTCTACGTTTTTCTCTAACATTTGCACATTCTCTCTTTTTCTTTGTTAGTTTAGTCAGTGGTGGTCAATTTAATTTTTTTTTTTTTTTAAACCCCACACTGGAAAGCCAGTTTTTGGGTTTTGTTAAATTTTTTTTTTCCCTTTTAAACTTCATATATTTTTTTCTCTGATCTTTATTACTTTTTTTTTTCCTGGTAGTTCTGGGCTTAATTTGCTTTTCTTTTTTGTACCTCAAGTTTAGAGTTATTGATTTGGAATTTTCTTTTTCATTGTAACCATTTATTTCTATAGGTTGTTGTTAAGTGCCATAGAGTTAGTTCCAACTCATAATGACCCTGTATGGAATTTCCAAGGAGTGGCTGGTGAGCTTGAACTGCCAACCTTGTGGTTCCAATCAACCTTGTAGTCCAACACATTAACTCACAGAAGCACACCAGGACTCATTTTTGCTATATATTTCCCTCTTGGTACTGCCTTCACTGCATCCTGTAGGTTTTATTTAGTATGTTTTGGTTTCCTTGTTCAACTTTTAAGTATTTTTGAGATTTTTCTATTCATTTCCTCTTTGGCCTATTGGTTGCTTATCAGTGTGTGATTTAGTGTGTATGTATTTTCCACTTTTGTTTCTGTTAGTTTCTAGTTTCATTGCATTGTGATCAGAAAAGACACTTGGTATAATTTCAGTCTTTGAAAATGTATTGAGACTTGCTTTGTTTCTGGTTTTACCTGAGAATGTATGTTGTGCTATTAATGTATTGTTGTTAAGTATAGTTGAGTTGGTTCCGACTCACATCAATCCTGTATAGGATTTCCAAGGAGCATCTGGTGGGTTTAAAACACTGACCTTCAGTTAGTAGTCCAGTGTTTGTCCTCCAGTGTGGTCTAGTTGGTTAATAGTGTTCTTCAAGTCTTCTGTTTCTTTATGATCTTTTTGCTTGCTTTCTGCATTATCAAAAGTGGTATATTAGAGAGTCTTCTGCTGTTATTGTACACTTGTCTATTTCTCCTTTCAAATCTGTCAGTGTTTGCGTCATAAATTCTAGGGCTGTGAGATTAGGTGCATACATTTCATAATCGTTTTATATTGTTGAATTGACCCTTTTATCATTATATAGTGTCTTTCTTTGTTATAATAGTTTCTGCCTTAAAGTCTGCTTGTCAGATACTAAAATTGCCATACCTGCTCTCTTCTGATTATTATTTGTTTAGATTGTGTACTCCCCCATCCTTTTGTTTTCATTCTGTTTGTGTATTTGTTCCTAGGCGTGTCTGTTGTAAATGGCATGTAGATAATTCATGTTATTTTATCCAATCTGCCATGCTTACCTGATTGAAGCATTAATGCATTTATGTTTACATTAATTTCTGTTAAAGAAGAGCATCTACCATTTTGTTACTAGTTTTCTTGAAAATTTCTCATTATATTGTTTCAAATTATGGTTTTTAATGGGAGTCCTGGTGTCATGCTGTAGGATAAGCACTGGACTGGTAACCGAAAGGTCTGTGGTTCAAACCTGGTGTCATTTAACAACAGCAAAGTGAGAAATAAAAGCTTGAACAAGAGAATTGGGCAAGTAGCAAGCTCTTCATTGGGCCTGAATCTGAAAGACAGTGAAAGGTCTTGACAGAAGGAAGAGTAAAATGAAAGTGGAAAAGCGCATACTTGATTAAATTTAACCTTTATCCTAAAGCTGTCTGTCACTTATGATGTTGGTATATGTGTCTTTGGCAATACAGCCATTTGAGCTCACCAAAGCAAGAATTTAAGCATTTAAATAGGAATGAATGGTAACAGGGTTCTCTGTCCTTCACAGTTTTAGTTGTTGAAATGGATGACTTGCTGTCTCTTTTCTTTTTTATGCTTTCAAAGTTCAGGGAAACTCAAAAGTATTTTCTGTTCTTAGATTATTTTGGCATACAAGGTAGTTTCCAGTGCTACTAGATATCCTGCTTGGCCAAAATAGTATTTAAAAAATTCTCAATTTTATGTTACAGGATGAATCTGGCTATAGATGGCCAAGAGATGATCATTCCGGAGGTCGACAATCCGAATACAGGTAAAAAGATGAAACAAATAAGAGAACTCCTTTGATACTGGGTCAAATTAAACTTTTATTACTATTATTATTATTTATCACAATCCTTTTACCTGTAGCAACATTTATGTTACTTCCTCTTGGTGGCTCTTCATTTACATCTTACATTTCACAAATGAACAAGGCAAAAATATTTGATGTACACTTATAAACCAAAAAATATATATTCATTTAAACCTCCAAAGGGTACATTCTTCAAGCCAGCTGCCTGCCTACAGGCACACTTAATAAAAATATATATTTAAAATATTTGAGCTATTGATATGTTTTCATCAAGTAACTATTAAAATAGAATACAAGTACTATTTTTATGGTTACTAATGAGGAGCCTTGGGTTTCTGGTGTGGCACTGTAGCATAAAGCAGTGGACTGTGAGGTTGGTTTGAATTGCAAAGTTGGTAGTTAAAACTCAGTAGCTACTTCTCTGAAACCCAATTCAGAGTCATTATAAGTTGGAACAGATGTGAAGGCATTTAACATCAACAATGAGTAGCTTTGGAGTCCAGGTGTGGTGCTATAGGATAAGCACTGGACTGCTAACTGAAAGTTCAGCAGTTCAGATCCACCTGCTGCTCTATGGAAACCCTATATGGGGTTGCGGTGAGCCTGCACTTAACAATAACAAGTAACCTTAGTTGTATTCATAATATATAGTATGAATTATAAGGTATGTGTTTGCTTAAATAGAAGGTAAGGCATTTCTTCAAGATTATTCTTCTTCAAGTTTTTGTATCTTTGCAGAGTGATTTATTTGGCTTTCTATTAGTTGCTTTATTTTGATTGATAAAGTTTTGTTGGCAATTTGTTTGGGAAAGACCTCAGTGATTTTTTTAGACATCTGAAAGAATAGTTAGGAAAAAAGAGGTACAGATTTAACTAAATTGACAGTTTGTTGACAGGGTAAGTAAAAAGTATTTACATAAAATTGTAGAAACCCTTACTAAAAATATCAAAATATGAAGCTATTATTTCTTGATATATTTGCCATCTTAGTTTATATACTTCTGAAGGTAGTGTTTCCATATCTCTAATATTTTCCTGAAGAATTCTGTGCTCTGATTGAAAATACATCAAAGTAGCATTTGTACCATCCTTGAGGGACTCAAATTATGTTCTTTGAGTTTTGAGAACAAGACATCTGAAGGGGTAAGATCAGGGCTGTATAGATGGATGCTGTAAGGTATCCCAATTAAATTCTCGTCGGACAGCCCTTGCTGCTCTTGATAAATGAGCAGGTCCATTGTCGTAATGGAAAACAATTCTCCTGGCTTTTCTTCACTAGTGCAGTTTTCAGTTTTTCTTAAAACTTCTTCATAATAAGCACTTGTGATCCATTTTGCATCCTTCAAGAAAATCTGTCAATATTACCCCTTTAGAATTCCAGAAAAAAATGGACTTATCCTTCTGAGCCTACTTCTGTGCCTTGAATTTAACTGGCTGATTGGACCTTGCTTTTTAGGTCATATTGGTAAGCCAGTTATGATTTGTTCCATAAAATCATCTTACCTTTGATCTTGCTTAAAAGACTGATGCAAAGATTAGAAATTGATAGAAAGGGCTGATCTTTGAGCTAGCTGATCTTCATGCAACAAAGGCTGCTGAGGTCAAGATGTTCGCTTAAAATTGAAAATGGTGATCCATGTGAAATCTGAATTTCAATAGCTGTTACATCAATGAAAATTCTACCATCTTCCACTGGCTTTTAAACTTCAGCCACAGTTTCTTAATTCATCAAGGTTGACTGTCTTGCCGTCTTGACTCATCTTTGAGGTCTTCCTGACCTACCTTAAAATGCTTGACCCATCTAAAAACTTTTTTTTTTTTTTTTTTTTTTGTGGGGCTGCATTCTGATAACTTGTGATAAAGCTTCAGTGATTTGGGATGATGTCCACTTGTTTTGTTAAAAATTTCATAATAACCTTGACTTCAAAACTATTTTTATTCTTGGCACAAAATAAAATTCTTTATGGCACTCTATTAAGATTTTTCCAGAAACCCTGAACAGGGTCGCTGTGAGTCAGAACCAACTGTATAACACTTAATAACAACAACAATATTTTTAGGATGATGTTAAAGTTATTGTGACTTGGCCTTAAACAACTTAAAATCACCTATAGGTCTGGCACTCTGAGTTAATACGCTTGACCGCAAAGTCTGTTTGAACTGCAAAGGCCGGCAGTGCAAACTCACTCCTTGGAAACCATATACAGGGTCGTTATGGGTCACAACTGACTTGAGGGCACTTAACAACAACAACATTTCTAAAGTACTCTTGGTGTGGTGCTGTGGGGTAAGCATTGAACTGCTAATCATAAGTCAGTGGTTCAAATCTACCAGTTGCTTCTTGGAAACGCTATACAAGGTTACTGTGAGTTGGAGCCGACTTGATGTCACTTAGCAACAACACCAAGACTAAGATAAGTATATTATGAGATAGTGTGTCTGCAGCCATCCACTAATCACAGAAATATGTTAAAGCATATTTTGTTTGTAATAAACCCCGCATGTATTAGCTGGTACCTTAATAGCAATACTTTTTGACTCCCCCTTGTATGTGATTTCACAGTGGTACTGTTGCAAATTATGAAAGTATTTTATGAAAGATCTCTTACAAAATGCCAGGTAAGAATCCCATTATCATAGAGTATGGATCAGAGTCAACAAGAACAGAGACAAGAGGGAAGGCCAAAGGACAGTGGGCCAGATCAAGACAGTTTATTAACAACAGCACAGCAGTCAGCATGAGAATCAGCATGGTAGTGGTAGTGCTCATTCTCTGTCCTCAAGTCCCCTGGAACATAGGGATCAGCCTAGATGGTGACTGCATGAAGGGGTTTCAGTAAGTTCGTGGAAAATTTGAGTGTCTTTTTATGCCATTTCCCACTAACTTTTTGAAGCTCTCTTGTGTACAGTGAGTTGCACCACAGTTGAGCATCCCAGTGCTAAATGCTCCTTACCTTTTATAGCAAGTAAGAAGCAAAGACCCAATAGTCATAATGTGATCACCTTGATATATTGAATTGTCTATGTGACCCGCTGTAGAAACTATTAATTATGAGGGGATGGTGGTTGTTGTTGTTAAGTGCCATCGAGTTGGTTCAGACCCATCGCAACCCTGTATAGGGTTTCTGAGGAGCAGCTGGTGAGCTTGAACCACCAACCTTGTAGTTCAAACAGCTTTGCAGTCTGGTGCATTAACCCACAGTGCCACACCAGGACTCCATGTTTTTTGTTGTTGTTAAGTGCCTTTGAATCCATTCCACCCCATAGCAACCCTATATAGGGTTTCCAAGGAGCAGCTGGTGAGCTTGAACCACCGACCTTGAAGTTCAAAAGACAGTGCCACTGTCAAATTGGCACCAATTAATAGTGACCCCATATATGAGAGTTCTAGTGTAATGTTACGTATGGGGCTGCTAATCTCACTGTCAGTAGTTCGAAGCTACCAGGTGTTCTGGGGGAGAAAGATGAGGCTTTCTGCTCCCGTAAAGATTTACAACCTCAGAAACCCTGTATAGGGTCGCTATGGATCAGAATCGACTCGACACCACTTAACAACAACAACAACAACAACAACACAAAGTTTGTGGAAAAATGGAATTAAATATTCTCATAAACTTTTTGAACTTCCTCTTATATAACAGAACAAAATGTTGCCTGGTCCTGAATTCTCATAATATTAGATGTGTTTGAGCCCATTGCTTCAGTCCATCTAGTCAGGGTCTTCATATTTTATTGCTGACACTCAACTCTACTTATGATTTCCTTCTCCAGAGATTTGTCTCTTCTCATCGTATATACAAAGTAAACAAGATGATATCTCACTGTCCTCACTTCCAAGAATTATTGTGCCTATACATCTTTCAAAACAGATTTGTTAACTTTTCTGGCAGTCCATGGTTAAAGGTGTGCAAAGATAGTCAGGACCAGGGTAGGTGTTGTTTAGTGCCGTTGAGTCACTTCCAACCCATAGTGACCCTGTATAGGGTTTCCAAGGATCAGTTGATGAGCTTGAACCGCCAACCTTGCAGTTCAACCGGCTTTGCAGTCTGATGCATTATGCTGTAAAATGCTTTGATAAAATATAGCACTCCACCATTTAAAAAAAACTTTATAACAAGCTAGAAATGGAAGAGAATTTCCTTTACCTGATTAAAGGACATTTAGTATGCTGAATGGTAAAATTAGATATATATATATATTTTTAAATCACCGCAAAGCAATGATGTCTGCTATCATTGCTTCTGTTTGATAGAGTGTTGGATGTTTCTGCCTTCACAATAAGACAAAAAAAAGGAATAAAGGTGTAAGGGTTAGAATTAAAGAAACAAAACAAAGTATAGATGATGTAATTATGCTATATACTATGAGAACTATTAAGAAATTAGGAAAATTCAGTATACTAAAATCAGCTTATAGTTGTATAAATTAGAAAAATACAGTTAAAAATATTTTTTATAACATAAAACTAAGGAGTAATAGAAATACAGGTAAAAAACACTTGTGATATCTGTATAGATAGACCATACCAAACACTTTGATCAAGTTGATGCAGACTCATTGAGCCCCTATAAAACAGAGAAGGACTGCCCCATAGGGTTTCCAAGGCTGTAGTCTTTGTGGAAGTAGACTGCTACATCTTTGTACAGTGAAACGCCAGATATTGTGGTTAACAGCTGAGCATCTTAATGGTGGTGGTGGATTTGTGTTGTGGTGTTCCTGTGTATAGGGTTCCTGAAGCTTTAAATCTTTACAGGAGCAGAAAGCCTCATCTTTCTCCCACGGAGTGGCTGGTAGATTCTAACTGCTGACCTTGCGGTTAGCAGCCCAACAACTCATAACCCACTCTGCTTCCACGGCTCCTTTTGATACCTGTATAGAGTGATATGAGTCATTTGTAAAAGACATAAATGGAAGAAAGATGAGGCTTTTTGCTCCCGCAAAGATTTAAAGCCTCAGAA